CTCTCTCTCTCTCTCTCTCTCTCTCTCTCTCTCTCTCTCTCTCTCTCTCTCACTTTTACTTCAGTTGTTTGACACGGGAAGGGATTTGTACGCTATTATTTTACGCTTGAGTACTTAGTGTTAGATAACTAAATCGAGTGGCGTTTTTAAAGTGAATTGACAAGGTCAGAGTCATGGATTTGTATACGTATGTACTATTATTTTACGTCAGGGAATTTTGTGTTAAGTAATAATATTGTATAACCTTTTTCTCAGTACATTTACAAAGGAAAGTATTGATGATTAATTCTGCGGTCTGTGAAAAATTTGTTCAACGTGCTTATACTCTCAACGGGGCCAACACGGGTATGTGTGTAAGACATTCGAACATAATAATGCAAATGCTCTTTAGAAATTAACAATAATATACTCTCCTGCCCTTTCTGTGCAAAACAAGCAGTCTGAAAATATACTACTATCAGTAAGTGTAAGAACCTTATGAACACAAAGTAACAATACTGGAAGTACACACTTCAACACAAGTTAAGGACCACCTTGATAGACAACCCCGAATTTGAAAAAATCCGAAAAAAATCCCAGCAAGGAATGTTTCAAATTTTAAAACTCTGAAACTGTTAATGGGTAACCAATGCGTACTGAAATGCTTCCCAAAATGGCAAAACCATCACGTGCTTTAAGGTAATCCTCGCGGTAATTTTAGCCAAATTTGCTGTTTTGTATCGGCTTGTGTGCGACACCACGGACATTCCTCTGTTAAAATTTCTGGTTCACGTCATAAACGGACATACGGTCTCGAACTGTTCTCACTTTGGTGGCAATATAAGCTGCCGTTTGCGAAAAATCCCGTATCGCCTCATCGTGCTACCAACTTTGACCGTGCCAGAGCTATGGCATAGCTGCAGGATGGAGTTGGAGTCCATGGAATGGCTTGCAGTGTCACACTCTGTCATTGTCCGCCTAAGGCAACGCCATCAAGCTACTGGATCAGTCCAAGAACGCCCACGTGCAGGTCGACCTAAGAAGACCACCCAAAATGTTTGCAAGTGGTCCTTAACTTTTGTTGAAGTCTGTAAGTTGAAGAGTTGCGGCATGTCATCGAAATGAATGATGATGAAACTAATAATAACTATTCTATTCCCCCATTTTTAGTCCTTTGTTTGTGCGGAATTTTGGTAAGATCAAGATGCTTCCGGCACCGTCGGGGAAATAATCTCGCGTCATCTTTTTAGCTTCACGATTAGGAAGCCAAAATAAGCCTTGGGTTCATGGATTTAGCCCAAAGTCACTTTCTACTTTCTTTGTAGAAACGTCTTCGTTCTGTAGCTTTTTCGGAAAGCCGTTGGAAATACTAATTACTGCTGGAGTATATTATGACATCACATTCAAACAGTTATGAAAAAAAGCTGAGAGTAAGCAGGGACTGTTTGCACAGGTGCTGCAAAAACTCGCGGGGAACCCAGGCAGGCTGGAGGTCACGTGACGCTGGACCGGCGCACAGAGTACAAAGTACAGAGTACAGAGTACAGAGTACAAAGTACAGAGTAGAGTAGTAGACCCACACAATTCTACAGAAAGGTTACACATTTACGAAGAAATTAAGTTACTGAGAAAAAAAAAATACTCCAAAAAAGTTGCAAAAATGAGGAGCATATACTCAGCTTCTTTATATGGGATGCCCATAGGGGGATCGGGTCGGGTCGAGTCGGGTTTTGGTCCCGTGAAAACAAACGTGTTAGTTCTTGAGGCGACGAGTCGGGCGCGATCGGCTTGGGCAACGATAGCCACTTTGCGCCCTCAATCCGGCTAGCAAACCGACCGGACCCGCCCCGTCCCCCCCCCCCCAATGGGCACCTCGTATTACAAATGACTTGAACCTTAAATCAGAGTTCCTTGACTGGCGTCTGTGGCACAGCGGTTAGGTGCTCCGCCGCCGTATGTAGAGGATCCGAGTTCAATTCCTGAGTGGGGAGAATTTTTATGCAGTATCTCAATCTCCATGCTGGTGTGTTGTTTGTATCTTTCTCATCTCGGGTTGGCCCTGACAAGCAGGGTCGAAGCCCTCCTCCCGAATGCTCTAAGTGTGTCAATGGGGGCATAAAAACACTTAACATAAAACAGTCCTGTAATTCTGAATCCTGGGGTTGGTGTTTTTACAATATGACGCATTCCAAAAATCAACTGCAAACTCACGGTCGATTCTTGTAAATCGGGAATATCCCGAAAGACGGTTTACAGATTTACTGTTAAACTCGGATATCACTTTACCAGCATGCCGGCTAGACAATAAGGTACAGAGCTATACATGTATATGGAAGTGAAAAAGCGACGGTGCCGGCAAGAGACTGATTTAAACAAAACTAAAAACTAAAGACCATCTGCTTGTCAGGGGCACTGTAAGCTCAATAACTAACGAGCACAAAATTTCAATCAGCTCCATTTGCATTTTATAATATTTAGTGGAAACTTTACATTATTACGTTCTTGTAAACTACATTTGATGAATAAAATGTAAATGACATTTTCCAGAAGACAGAAATATATGGAAATAGGCACTGCTTGCTACGTCTATATTCGCCGTGCACAACTGGAAGCGTCTCACTCAATCTTTTTGCTCACATGGAAAGTTTTTCACATGTTTCACACAACCAAATTTCTAAATAATTAAACATTTTTCGATATGGGAATGGATCTTAACCATGTACCATTACAGAGCTCTACAAACACACGCCGCGAAATAATGAAAGGAGAAAAATGGCAACCGAAAAATTTCTAAAATCTAAAAAATAGGATAATATGAAATATGAAAAAGAGCAACAACAAAAGGAAACGTTAATGATACCGCAGTAATGAAAACGCCTAGAGCAACACAAATAAGCAAAAGCTATGTAGAAACGAGCGGCAGACTCTGGTAAATATGTTCGGGAGGATAATGATACCTTTTAAAGACTCAGCATACAACGGATGAGCTCAGTAAATCTCAGAGCAAAAGAAGGAGACAATGGGCGGACGGCAGCGGCAGTCGGGGATAAGGGG